GAAGCCAAGATAAATCATTCCCGCAAATCCATCGGTTGCGATGGGCATTTGAGCATAATTTGGGACAACCTTGTGAATTGATGGCATTATTTTTACCCGATCACTTTTGTGAATATCACCAAAGCGTGTGAGCTGAGAGTCTTGCTTGGGAAATCGGTGTGCTGTTAGTTTTTATATTCGGGAGATAACCCATTTACCAGTTTATGCGCGTTCGTATTGTCTTTGTCAGTATTTAGACCGACAACGAATCTCCCTGTTTGTTTCAAATGTAGACGGTCTCCCGTAGTCTATAAACCGTTCTGTGTGAGTGACGGACGCAGGTCGGGCCTCAGTTCTGTGATTGTGTGGCCCAACTGCGGTGAGCGGCAGTGTGTGAAGAGTAGGACGTGGTTATTCAAGCCCATCGGCCAGGCGCTGCTCCGTCCGCGCCCCGCGCTTGTCGGACCAGCCGCCTCGCACCGCTTAAATGCACGCCCTTGTTTGTGCGCGAGCGTGAGCGTGACCGTCGAACGGGCTGCTCCTCTGTTCTGTGAGAGAGACACACTGTTAGTTGACCTCAATACCAGTGGCATTATTGATAGTGATTTTTTGTATTGTGTCTATTTATGTTCTGAACGCTGAGCTGCCGTTCAATACAGCTGATAAGATATTATCTTACATGAGTGTTGTTTTGGTGAGACGGCATTCCTGGATGAGTCGGCGAAGATAAGCTGATTTCGACTTAACCCGCGCGGGGCTGGGGGGGGGGTAAATTTTACCCCCCCCCCTCGCGAATTTTTGCGATATCTCAAAAACGGCGGCGCGCAGCGCCGCCAAACTTTCAGTACCTTTTCCTACATCAATTTGACACGTTCCCTGAAAATTTGAGCGAAATCCGTCGGAAAATTTTTGAGAAATTGATGTTTTAGTGACGTCATGTTCGCCATTTTCGCCTCAAAAACGGCAAAAGTTCAAACGCCGCTAACATCTTCATTTTTAAAGGAATCAAGACGTAACAAAAAAGTTTATACGTAATTTTACTTTGTCTATCAAAGGGCTATCTCGGTTTTTTGAAAATTTTGGATTTTGGCCTAAATTTTTTCAAAAAACTGACTTTTTTGGGAAAATCATTATAAAATCCAAAATTTTGAGTCTATCAAAAAAAACGGAATATATGTCAGAGAAGTGGTCTATGTGCACCTACATACCAAATTTTAGAAGAATCGGTTCAAAAATGTGGGAGTTATTCAAAATTTTATGACGTCACGACACACAAAATTTTTGAAAAATGACTTTTTTGGAAGTTCTAGACCTCGTACGGAAACAAAAATAGCACCATTCGATTCGCCGTGAAAAACTGCATCAGATAGACACCTTTTTAGGCCTTAACAACCAACTTCAAAATTTGACCTCACTTGACCTGACCTTGACCTGACCTCGACCTGAAATTCATCCAGAGGTGGTCCATATCACTTATTGAGTGTGCCTATTGAATTCTATGAGTAAAATGACCCATAAAACATGTGTCGCACATGCCCTTTTATATATTTTGTTTTTTGGTGACCTGACCTGACCTGACCTGACCTTGACCTTGACCTCTGAATGATATTGTATGCAACGAATATTGTCTTGGTAGCCTTAGAACACGTTTTGGGCGATCAGTCTCAGTCCATGACTCCATTCTTCGGCAACTACGGTGCAAGGCCGATACTGTAGAAACTTGCAATTTGTACCCTTGACCTGACCTTGACCTTGACCTCAAACTTTAAATTAAGTACATGTTTTTAGTATTTCGTGATGAGAGCTTTCGATTGGCGTTTGAATTTTCCAAATCGGACCATTAGTTCGGGAGATAACAGGGGGGTAAAATTTACCCCCCCCCCCAGCCCCGCGCGTTCGGCTGGAGACCCCAGCCCCGCGCGGGTTAAGTAGTTAAACGGTCGTGGAGCTAGGTGCTCTCTAATGCGCTAATTCATCTCCGGACAGTCGCTGAGATGGTCCTGTGTCAGCCTGACCTGAAAGTCGATATAAAATATGGTGGAGGTGACTCCCGCAATCGCAATGGTCGAAGTGAACTCAGCAAAGAAACTATAAAACGTTGTGCACTCTGCACAACATCAACAAGACACGATAGTAGGGAAATCATGGATTGGCACATTGGTTACAGCAGGTGGGCTTTTTAGAAACTTAAACCTATAGGTACCTACTGATATAGGACCGGGCCGCCGCGCTGGCCGGGAACTCATGCACACTGGCGCACGAGGCATTAGGCAATAGCAAACCACTTGGCCAACATGGGATGAACACTGGAAACATCATGACACATAAATATCACCACAGTAAGAAAACCGCAATAAGATAACGCACACGAATTTGTCCTATTTCTATAACAGCTAGACATTAGACTGCAACGCGCGAAGAAAGCAATAGCACGGCAGGCACGGCAGCAAGGAAACTGCAACGGCGCACATGAAAATATCCCATTATGATATGGAAATCGCGATAACGCATCGACGTGACAGTAGGGGACGCAGAATCAAGACTCTGCAGTGATTTGTAATTAGTTTGCTAACGGAAAGACCCTATAAACCACAATATTTCAGGAAATGAAGCAGCAAAAGCAATCAAGGCGTCGTCCAAACCGTCCAAACTCCAAAGGCGCTGTTTGTCGTTTCATACGGGCCAAAATAGATGCGGGCAGCCTCTTTCCTGATTGTGTTCGCTTTATGCAAAAGATGTCAACGCAGACACTCTGAAAACAAGAGATGCCAGTAAATTTCACGGCCCTCACACATTTTTTATAGTTGTTTTATTTATTTGCAATAGAGGTTTTTGATTCTATGTGTTGGTTTTTTTATTTATCTAGTTCTGAATGAACCAAAATACGAATTTTAACTAAATTGATGTAAAATGAATGCAAATAATGAGAAATATTCATTTCAAAGTTTTTGACTTAAAATGGGCATCTCAAATGCTCAACAAAACAATCAGCGCATGAGCAGTGGACGGGAAATATGAACACATGCCCTAAAGCATTTATGAAAGGCAGCGAAGCGCTAGCTTGAGCGCTAGGGGATGATTCAGGTCATTCAGGTTCATTTCTCGCCTTTATTTCGCGTGGGCTGCTTGTGCTGGTGGGAGTCGACAAATTTTATTACAGGCTAATAGGAAGCAGGGGTTGTGGTGCAGAGTGAACCTGAGGCCAAGGTATGTTAGGAATTGTGGTAGATACCGTGATTTTAAAGTTTTGCGGATCAAGTTTATTTTGGCCTAGTTGGAGTGCATTTTGTAACCATTTTAATACCAATGTATTGCCTTTAATAAATAGGACAGCCACCACATCTACCTGAAGCCAAAATTCAATGCTTCAATTTAATGTTTGTTTTCCTTGTGAAAAATAATTAAGTGATAAAAGGACAAATTTACGAGTCACTTGAGAATTAAGATGCCTAACACCAGGCTCCTCATCCTTACATTTTTGCAGGGACTGTGGTACCATAATGACATTAAAATCTAGACATATTTCAGTTGGGCAAACTAGGCGGCGGGAATCAAAATATGGAGGCATCAAAATATTGATTCTAGTGGGCGGAGCTTTGACCATATATGGGCATACGTGCAGACCATCACAGAAACGTCAATTCTTCAGCAACCGGCAACAATTTCAAGATAGTTTCTTCACAAAATGAAGAGCAACGTTGAAGCTACCCGCCAGGCACGAAACAATAGCCCTAACCTCTTTGGTTAGTTTAGGAAAGCGTCTTGAAAATAATCAAGATATTGATTCATCGCGGCGGCTAATCCCGGCGAGAATCAATATTTTGATTCCGCAAACAGCTGGCTAATCATTATTTTGATTCTGAAATCAGCTGGCTTATCAATATATTGATTCTGCGAACTGACTTTCGGCAGACGTACCTCACTCTTCAAATTGATTTATGGAATGTTTCTTGTGTGCAAATAATGCAAATTCAATAAATTCATGAAGATATTATCAGCACAGGATCGTGTAATTTTTTTCTAGACCTTATTCCCACGGTAGACCAGGGATTTTCAGCACTCACCCTGGCTCCCTGCTCAAAGCTGCAAGCCTTCGAGGGAATGCGTGAAGGGAGCCGTGCTGACCTTTGTATAGGGGTTGTACTGAGTCGGAGCCGGAACCGAAGCCCGACCATTTTACTCGGAGCCGGAGCCGGAGCTGGAGCCGATTTTTTTCCTCCGGAGCCGAAACCGTCAATCACGGCTCCACATCCCTGCTTTGTAGCATTGATTTTGAGTAAAAAAAAAAGTTCACTTATCGTCTTTCACGTGTTCATGAATATGTTTCTACGCATCTGTATCCCGTCCCATTTCTGTGGAGTACAGTAAGAGATATTTCGCCGAACAATATACTCAAGCCCGTTGCACAAATTGCACAATTTGAATGAAAATATGATACACGGATGTATTTGCATTCACAAATAATACGATGATATTCATAACACATTTCACAACGATCCCTGCAATTGCCACACATTTGTCGTTGATGCTCACATCCCATGCAAAGCAATACTCACTTTTAGGACACGTCTCTTATTCAATATGTCTACGTATTTGCAAAACATGCAGTTAATAATATTTGAAACTGAGACCTAACCAATAAGACATACCGGAGACAGGTAAGAAAAAACAAATAAACGTCTGGAGAGTGGAGAATGACCTCAACGTCTCGAAGTTGCCTAATTACAAAGAGCAATTTTCGGTTTCGAATCAAATACATGAAATAAATATAAACAAAATGTGTACAGATACACTCAATATAGGGTTTATGATTAGCACGGCTACCTTAAACATCAATCCTGTCGGGTTGAGCCACTTATGTCCACACCCAAAGCAGGTCGCTTTGGAACACCACAAGATCCCATATTACCACCGAAAACGGTCACCAATTGGTCTACTGATCAGCATCTTCAGAACATTCTCAACCGAAAAGCTATCAGTCCTGTCTGTGTTTTGGTTCGCTTCATTTGGGCTATGCGCACGTTTTTCTACTCCGGTTCTAGGGACGAGATAGCAGTCATCACGCGCTGCACCAGCTCGTTCTTTGACAGGTTGGTGACGCTGTCGTCATCCGGCAGGATAAACACGTGGCGCATTTCACCCTCGGCCCCGCCAGCCACATACACACTTCCTTACGTCATATTGTTTCTCGCCACGAGATCAAAGTTCAAAAGGTCGTGATGTAGGTAGTCTCCGCCCAGCCCGAGTCAGGTACTCCACCGGTTGGTCGGGTGCGGCCAGGTCCGCGCAACGCCGCCCTACTTCGGTCGACGCTCTGGTTGACAGGGATGGCGTTGTCATACAATTGCCTGTCGACTGAGATTCAAGACGCCATCCTTGACCCTCTGAAGCCGATCCCCGCAACGACCAGTGTTTGATCCTTGGCTGACCTGCAGCAAACAACAGAACACAATAATTAGGACATTTGTGGACAATAAATTAGGAAACTATATGTGTTATTATTCTACTTGTTCAGCAACTATTAATTTTAGAATATATTCAATAAAAAATTAAATACTTAATGTCACTTAAATTTCCACTGAATGCCACCAGGTGCGCCAACACTAACTGTCATCTCATGCAGTTATATAAATTCTGCCAAAAAAGTAGATCTGAGGCCAGTTGTACCAACAGCAAAATAGGTGGCTGCTGGATTTTTTTTTGTCTAAATGTTACTTCACATACAGAGCATGAACAGTACAGCCGTATCCGTTTACGTGCCCATCATGTTAACGCTCCATATGTGAAGCAGTCTTTAGGCAAAAAATTCCAGCAGGCAGCTATTTGTGTTGCTAAAACTGGCCTCTAAAATTAACTTTGGCATGGAAAATCCTGAAAATTAACTGTTCCAGCATTCCTTGGACTGACGTACATTAGACACATAATTTTCTTGAAGATCACGTATAATGTAAATATGGCTTACACCATTCAGCAACTTGCTTTTGTTACACTTAAAATAAGCATCATTAAATATGTAGCAAAAATGGGCGAAGCAATAACAAGCCAAGCATACATACCTACTATTTAGATAAGCAAACACGAAGATGCACTACGACCTTTCAATCTGAACTCGGAACAAGTCAATAACCTAGTTGCCCTTAAAAATTTAAATGCTACATATTAAAGTTGTAGCAACAATTGGGTGAGTGAGACACAAGCAGAGGCCAAAAACATCCAAATTATGTAAAATACTGGACATGCACTGCTCCCATTTCATGAGTCCACCCAACAATTCTATCATGTGAGACAAAACATTAGGCTTCTTGTACCTAATTTATACCGTAACTTTTAAAGGACATCATATTTCACTGAAATACTACACCTAAGACATCATTTTCAAAAAAATATAGCTTTAAAAGACAATAGAAGAGTGAGAAGGCGTCCCGCGCCGCTGACGTCGCTACCGCGCCATGTTCCTAAGACCATCTCTTAAAACGAGTTTTCGGTAAGAAACGTTAAGATCACATGCCTGAAATTGAAAAACACACTTCAAAGTATCTTAAAATATGATCCATTGTTACTTACACTTCAGAAAAGGTCGCTTAAACAAAATAAAACCGGGAGCACTACGTTGCATCCAAACATCCACGACGCCGGCGCGAAATGGCGGGAACCGGAAATCGTGGCTAGATACAAAGAAAAAGAATATTTCTTATAAATGAATTATACAACTAAATAACGCATTTTTTATTTTCTTTTAGACAAAATTATGAAAAAATTACAAAGGCTCGTCGTTAATGATAAACAGAGCAAGTTTTAACAGCACGTTTTTGTTGAATGATGGCGGCGAAATCTTTATGCCATTCGTAAAGGTACGCGCGACAAACGGCTGATAGCCATGCAGCGAAAAATTGAAGCGGGGAAGTTTTTTGTATTGACTTGTCAAAAAATCTCGCCGTCATGGGGGTTATTTCCGCCGTAACGGGTCGTCTGAAGGTGGGAATGTCCCAAATTGAATCAAAATATTGATTCTATGCCCATATATGGTCAAAGCTCCGCCCACTAGAATCAATATTTTGATGCCTCCATATTTTGATTCCCGCCGCCTAGTTTGCCCAACTGATTTTACACACAGGGTCCAGGGATCAGGATGTGAGTCAACCCTGATTGAATCAAATCCAGGCTTATAACTTTCAAAACTTTGACTGTCCATTGACCATTTTCCCTGATGTGACTGATCCTGATACTGATCACTGACCCTTATTGACCTTAACCAACCCTTACTGGCCTCACTCTCACAGACCCTTATTGCCCTCACTGTTCCTGTTTGATGTCACTAACCCTTTATGACCTCACTGACCCTTATTGCCCTCATGCTAAACCAGAATTGGCCTCACAGACCAGTTATTACTTATTACCCTCACTCTGAAACCTGTATCAACCTCACACTCTACTGAATTTGCTAACCCTTATTGACACCATAGACCTTCTCTGACTCTTATTGATCTCACTGACCCTCAGAACCCTCACCATAAATCCTTGTTGCCACTTTCCAGGGGCATTGGCGGTAACGGCCCAGCACCATGTCTCTCTTCACGGCCGCCGACTATGTGGTCTGCGGCATGATGCTCTCCATCTCTGCCCTCATCGGCGTCTACTTTGCCTGCACCGGCGGCCGGCAGCGCAGCCAGGCGGTGAGTAAGGCCTCATTACAGGTGGCTGAAGGACTGGATACATGGAGTGATTTGTGTAGAAATGATTTGTCTGTTTGGAAATGAGATTAAGTTGTTTTTTTTTTTAATCTGTAGGTAAGGAATTATTGAGAAAAAGTTGTGTGTGTTTTATTGCTTATGTTGTTTTATTTCGCTTGTATCTTGCTTTTTATGGCGCCTTGTCTATTTCAGTTCAGTATATATATCTGCTCTGTGTATTTCTGTCAACATATTTCTGTTGGCACTGGCAGCTGATGGTAAGTGCCACCCCTGATCAGTTTTAAGTTGTCTGCCATCTCTGATCATTCCTCCCCCTGTATTCCCCAGGAGTACCTGCTGGCTGACCGCAGTATGGGCGCACTACCTGTCTCCTTCTCCCTCCTGGCCAGCTTCATGTCGGCCATCACGCTGCTCGGTGTCAGCGCCGAGAACTACACCTATGGCACCCAGTTTGTGCTCATCAACGTCTCCTACGTCATCGCCACGCCCATCGCGGCGCACTGCTACCTGCCGGTGTTCTACCGACTCTCCGAGTACTCGGTGTACCAGGTGAGTTCTACCACTGCCCACTGCTACCTGCCGGTGTTCTACCGCCTCTCCGAGTAGGTACTCAGTGTACCAGGTAAGTTCTACCACTGCCCACTGCTACCTGCCGGTGTTCTACCGACTCTCCGAGTACTCTGTGTACCAGGTGAGTTCTACCGACTAACAGAGTACTCGGTATATCAGGTGAGTTCACTGTAGCCTACTGCTATTTGCCGGTCTTCTACCAACTCTCAGAGTACTCGATGTACCAGGTGTAGTACCCATAGAGATAGTTGTACCTGCCCATATTCGACCGACTCTCAGAGTGCTCGGTCTATTAGCTAAGTTCTACTGTATTCTGCCATGGTGCCATTGCGGCCGTATTCTGCCATATTCTGCCGTGATAGCAGGCAGTGACAGCCGTATTCTGCCGTATTTCGCGGCACTTATACTGCCGTATTCTGCCGTAATGGCCGTATTTTGCCATGATGACTGTATTCTGTTGTGATGGCCATATTCTGCCGTGGTGCCTGTATTTTGCCGTGATGACCATATTCTAACAGGATGGCCGTATTCTACCGCGGTGGCCGTATTCTACTGTGATGGCCGTATTCTACTGTGGTGGCCGTATTCTGCTGTGGTGGCCGTGTTCTACTGTGGTGGCCGTATTCTACTGTGGTGGCCGTGTTCTACTGTGGTGGCCGTGTTCTACTGTGGTGGCCGTGTTCTACTGTGGTGGCCGTGTTCTACTGTGGTGGCCGTGTTCTACTGTGGTGGCCGTGTTCTACTGTGGTGGCCGTGTTCTACTGTGGTGGCCGTGTTCTACTGTGGTGGCCGTGTTCTACTGTGGTGGCCGTGTTCTACTGTGATGGCCGTGTTCTACTGTGGTGGCCGTGTTCTACTGTGGTGGCCGTGTTCTGCTGTGATGGCTTATTCTGTCGTGATGACTTCCAGTCACCTGGCATTGGCGCATTACCCTGGAATAGCCGCATAAACAGTTGCAGCCGAACAGCTGTCACCTGTTCCCCTCCCTTCTTCCTATCTGCGTCACAGACTATCACACACGCCCGCTGGGTGGGGTAGGTTACCCCCCCTCCCCCCCCCCCGACGGCTGCCAGTGCCACCGACGGACGGCTGGCTCCGATCCTGCTGGGGGGGGGGGGGGGGGGGGGGTGACGACAAGTAGACTGACCCAGCGCTACGGTCCGGTACCACCTGATGTCATCCTGCTGGGCAGGAGTCGCATGTCGAGGGCAAGATGTCGCAATGGCCGGCGGCCGAGCCAGGCGTGACTGAGATTGGTGGCCGCATTAGGGTCCAGTACTGGGCTCGGATTGCCGAGATTTGAGTTCGCCGAAATGTTTATCCAAGGATGGCTATATTTAACATCTAGGGAATGTAAATTTGGCTATCTAGATTATGTAACGACATGCACTTTTCGCTGAAACCGTGAGACATATGTTCATGGACACGGCAAGTTCGGGCAACATGTGGCTATGGGTGGCTTTAGCGAAAGTTAAACCGCTATTTGCTTTTGTTAGAAATGTACCATCTGGCCCCGCTTTGTGTCCGCACTGTCGGGCCCCCTCCCCCTCTCACACTCCGGCTGTCAGTCGTCCAGGACCCCCCCTCTCCCCCGCCGGACCGGGCATGACACGGTGTCTTCATATCGCCTGTCCCGACACAGATGGTGCTGAGACAGCTCTGTAAATGGGATAGACACAATATTTATACGATATCTTTCCGCTGTTACTTCCAATATTTGTATCTGATTGACAACGATCCAATGGACTCGTGTGCATTTGACTCAGTTGGTTCTCTGTGAAGGCATCGGTCTGAAGTTCCTCGAGTGTTTCTGAGCGAGCCGTGACTTCATTGTGTATTGTTGTTGATCGAGTTCATCAGACGGCTGTGAGGCTGCTGCTAACGGAGCGAATTCCATGTCCCTGGCTCACGGAGTTATGAAATGTCTCGTCATGCTCGAGTGGAATGCAGCATCAGCCAGTGCTCCTAGAATGTGTAGTATGCAAAGGCATGCTTACGAAACCGGCGCTACAACGAATGTTATTTCGGTCAACGCGTACTTCAGCATCAGTGTTATTTGCTTAAGTTTACATAATGACAAACGACAAAGCAGAGTTTGGTTTGATTTTTATTTGGTGAAGCTCTTTGTAATGTCCTTCTACAACGAGTGAGTTCACCTTGCTTCGTTTTTAATGGGTTTCGGTGCCTTTCCCCCAATATTCGCACAAATATCGATGCTCTAGTTGTTTCGTGCGGTTTACCTGTGTTAATTTGTCACCGTTTCAGTACCTGGAGTACCGGTTCGGCACGCTGACTCGGATGCTCTGTTCGATGGCGTTCTCGCTGCAGATGATTCTCTACATGGGGGTGGTGCTGTACGCGCCGGCCATTGCTCTCAGCACAGTCACAGGTACGGCCCGGGGTGATACACCTGGGGACGGGGACGCGGCTGGGGGCGCCGCCGGGCCGGGGTGATACACCTGGGGACAGGAGACAGCTGGGGGCGCCGCCGGGCCGGGACACAGCTGGGACGCTGTAGGGCTGACACAGCCTGCCTTACACAGCTGGACAAACAGGAAACACTGCTCACATGGCGGCTACTATGGATATCTTACGTAACACCACATCGAGTCGCATGCTTTGAGTCGCGTCCTGCCTGTATGTAGGCGCACGTAATGCGGGCTTTAGTCCGTGCGGTTAGTCAGTCTTCTGGCACGGATATAAGGGCACGTGACAACAGAGTGATGAAGCCTGCATTATTTTGTTCAATGTCTTGTTCACCGCACGCGCTTGTGTTTGTGCGCATTTCATCCCCGCGCTCTCTGACCTTTGCGTGGTCAGATAATCGTCACCACGTGTTGTACGGTCTATTATCGACCCGCTCGGTAGAGGCCATTTGTCCAGTCATTAACGTCCGCTCGCTGACTGCAGCTGGTCGGAGCGTAGCGAGCGCCGGAAATAGATCAATAGGTAGAGGTACCCTTTATGCATGTAAGGGGACTGAAACCAACGGCTTTAGAAAACGAAAGCCTTTTTTTGCGGCGCAGTGGGAGTATTATCACATTCCGTCATTGTTTTGTAATCGGGTGGAGTCACTTTCCTTGTTCCTCGTCAAAGCAGTGTTGATTTTGAAGGACAGTCGTGTTGCCGTTATTGCCGTATTTTCTGCGACATGTGTCCATTGTTTCCGAGTATTAAATGAACAACACCACTACCGACTCGCGTTGGTCAGGCCGGGCCGTGCTGCCGCGTTTCCGCACCTTTCCGTGCCTCCGGTCGGAGTAGAGGTTATCTCAGAGCCCCTCTCTCCCACCACTGGCCACTCCATACCACTCCGTGTGCTCGCATCAGCACCGTCTGAATCGGGCGTTAGTGTGTGCCCGCGCACGGCCGTACCGCCCGACACAGCAGTCTGTGTACCGTACACGTGCTCTTCGCGTGCCTGACGGACCGGCAGAAATGCACTGTCATCGTGCTGAGGGGATTATCGGGGGATTTGTAGTAAAACTGGAGCTACCCTATTACTTGTTTTCCTCTACAGCTAAACAGGTGACACGCTTCAAATGCTTCATGTTGTTCGGGTTGGTTTATTTGCGAATATATTGTATCAGTTATTGTCTGCAGGTATCAGTCTGTGGCTCTCTGTTCTTCTGGTGGGTCACCTTCTAGGCTTCCACTCCGCTATGTCCTCATCTGACCGGTACTGTTGGCAGGTATCAGTCTGTGGCTCTCCGTCCTGTTGGTGGGTCACCTTCTACTCCGCTATGTCCTCATCTGACCGGTACTGCTGGCAGGTATCAGTCTGTGGCTCTCTGTCCTGTTGGTGGGTCTGGTCTGCACCTTCTACTCCACACTGGGAGGCATGAAGGCCGTCCTCGTCACCGATGTCTTCCAGGTAAGACTGGCCACGTTTGACCTGGTATAGAATGACCCTAACTTGACCTCGGGTGGGCCTGTTACTGACCTCAGGTGAATCTGACCTGACCTGACTATAGTTAGCCTAATAGGACGGGACCTCGGGTTGGCGTAACCTGGCCGGCCCTCCGCGGCCATCTCTCCTGCTCATTTAACTGACGCCACCACCAGTTGCAACCTGCCGCAGTCTCCAGCTGATCGATCGACGGAGCTGGAGCTCTGTGACTCACAAAGGCACACTCTATGACGCACGCTGGTTCGAACGATGGTGATCAATAGGCGTCCTGTGAAACGAGCGGTAAACATAAGAGTTTCTGTTAGCTGCCGCCTGCTCCAGACTGTCTCCGAAATGTTAAAAGAGGATGTGATTGTATGTTGGTGTCAAAATTTGATTGACCTTTGACCCATCGGTGAGGATGTGTAATGTGTATGCTTACTGGTGTATTCTTTATTACGTCTGTAATAGGTCAGCTCTTGCCGTCATGTTCTCACATCCACTGACAGATATATCTGCTCCGGTGCTATTCTCCGCAGACCCTGCTGATGTTCGCGGCCATATTCGCGGTGATCGCGGTGGGCTGTGTGACCATGGGCGGACCGGCAGAGATCTGGCGAGTCGCCGAGGAGGGAGGCAGGATCGAATTCCTCAAGTGAGTTCATATTTCACACTCTATGGCACTCTGTAATTGTATGGGCACTGGATAGCCTAATGTTGTGAAACGCCCGCCCCGAAACTCTACAACACGCCGTTCTTTCCACGCTCCACGGCTCATTCTGCCTTTTACAACTCTCCACCGTCTCATCCCCAGTATCATCTCGTTTATTCTGTTCCTATTCCCCATCACAGCCCCGTTTTGTATTTCAGTTCGCATCGCCGTCCCGATCGCCATGTTCTGTCGTCCCCAAGGCTCTCCTACGCCGGCACTATAAGATCTGAACCCCAGGCTCCCCGGAAATGCCGCCTTATGGACCAGTATTATAGCTCTGTTTAGACTGTCGCGGCTCCCTGTGAGGGTGTCCGATTACATCCGAGAACGCCTCACTCTAACCACGTGGTGGTCTGGGTGGGTTACCCTACGTTACATGTACTGTAACGGGCGTACCACGTCTCTAAGTGAAATAGTGGACCGTTTGAGATCACTGCTGATGCTGGGTGCGATGTCGTTTGATCGTTGTGTGTAATGTTTGCTTGGGCTGACTTGGTACTAGAATAGGTCTGGCACTGGTGTTGTTGGCTCTGCGTGTGTCTTAGTTTTTGTCCGAGACTTGAATCCAGTACGATCCGATAGGATTCAGATGTTTTCCCAACAAACACAAATGATACAATGCGCCAAAACAGCTGCCTCAGTGAAAAACACTGGCAATGAAGCGGCACAACAGGATGGATCTGGTCAGGAATGCTTTTTCGACATACCATTGACGTTAGTTGGAAATGTAACAGCGAGCTCCAGCATCAGCTCGCTTTATTTTCTATTCATAAATGCGCGGGCATGCTCATCACTGTCTTTACGCAATTTCAATGGGTATTTTCATCTGCATACAGAAGACAGTTTCCATATGAGACGCATAGTGTCCAAACACGTAGATGCATCACAAGTACTATGTTACACGGTTTGCTACTTGATGGGGTGTATCCTGTGTTATGTTCGGCATTACACGTCCGCTTTGACTAAAGGAGCACAAATTCTATTTTCCCATGCTATCAGCATATCACCAGTCTTCGTCCCTTGACTTTATATCTTCTCACCGTCACCATGTTAAACCGTCTCCCTACCGTCAGTATTTCACCAGACTGTCGCTAATTGTAAATGATTTGACCCCCCCCCCCGCCCCCAGTATATCCCCAGACCCCACTGAGGGGCACACAGTCTGGTCTGTGTGTCCATCTGACCCCCCCCCCCCCCTCCGTATCCCCAGACCCCATGGAGCGGCACACGGTCTCATCTGACCCCCCCCCCATCCCGTCCCCCAGTATATCCCCAGACCCCACGGAGCGGCACACGGTCTGGTCGCTCGGTCTGGGCGGCGTGTTCATCTACCTGTCCCTGTACGCGGTGAACCAGGCGCAGGTACAGCGTCTGCTCTCCGTGGGCAGTCTGCGGCGCGCCCAGCTGGCCCTCTGGATCCAGTGGCCCATCCTGACCTGTCTCAGTCTGAGCACCTCGTTCGCCGGCCTGGTGGTGTACGCGCACTACCACGGCTGTGATCCGTTCGCCACCGGAAAGGTCAAACTGCCAGACCAGGTGGGTGTGTTACATACTCTCAGAAAAGAGGAGCATTCAAACTAACTTAGTATAAACAAAACGTATTCTGTTCCAAACTAAGGCGTTCTTGCGTGAATCATTTGGGTTAGTGAACAACGTATAGCAGCTACATAGCGACTTGAGATGCTCTTGGATACCTACTGGTTCGTAGTATCCTGTTTAGCAGTGAGAATGTCTCATGAACAATTTGTTTTCATGTTTTCGATTTAACTCCGCGGAATCTCATGCCCACCTCGCTTGTACCCTCTTGTATGATCCTACCCGGCTGTGTGTTGATACAAGTCGATGGCCCATGTCTGTCCGTCCATATCCCATGACTCACCGCCCGCCTGGCTCTGCCGCGCCGCGCCGTGCCGGTGCCGGTCCCACTCTCAGCGCACTGGTCCGGTTTTCACTCCGCCGCCGCCCCCACAAAGCGTGCCCGCCGACACTCCACTATACACGCCCCAGTGGATGTGTGACCACAACTTAGCGATAACGTCAGCGGTGAAGGCATTGCGGTGTGGGTGCCTTCCACGCCGGCCGGCAAATCCGCCCAGTCAGATAGGCCAAAACAGGACGGTGCGATCATGTGTGTTTGTATTTTGCTGGAAAACGGAGTGATTCATAACACAGGGCAATTCAGGTGTAAAGTGACCCGTATTGGCTGCGCAGTTGTATTTTCTGGTTTCCTTGCTCCGTTTTCTATCTCCCACTCACTACTCTTCCATCTATTTCAGGTGTTGCTTTATTATGAACGCTGTAGAGTTGTATTGTCCCGTATTATGTTCCCTCGCCTTTCTCACATTCCCCGTTCTGTTCCAGCTGCAGTGCCCCGTTGCGTAATGGACACACTGCTGTGTTCTCTGGCTCCGTTGTGTGGTGCGGTCTGACCCTCGTTTCCCTCTATCTGTCCAGCTGCTGCCGCGTTTCGTGATGGACACGATGCGCGACATTCCCGGGCTGCCCGGCCTGTTCGTGGCCGGTATCTTCTCCGGCTCTCTGAGCACCGTCTCGTCGGCCGTCAACTCCCTGGCCGCCGTCACCGTGCACGACTACGTGCGGGTCAGTGGACAGCGGCCGGCGCCGGGGCACGCAAAGTGACTCCTGCTACGCTGGTCTACTGTTTTCCAGGGTCAACTGGCTGGGTCATTCTCAAACGATATCGTACCCGTTTTCGAGATGCCAATTGGCCAATTGGCTCCGTAGCAGCTTTGTTTAACTATACTCACCAGTAAAACGCCTTTTGGGCGAAGAACGAGCGAGCGAGATAGTGAGCCCTGCACGTCCGGAAGGGCGAGAGGGTGCTTCCAACGGGCTTGTGCAAAGCACCCTTCTAACCGGTCGCTAGCGGTGTGCCAAATTTGAACGCAATCGGCCCAGCCGTTCCTGAGATCTGGCAGCGGCATTCTGCACGTGCGCACGTGCAAACGGGGTCCAAAATGACTTTTGCACGGCACCCTACTAACTGGTCCCCAACCGTGTACCAAATTTGAGCGCAATCGGCCCAGCCGTTCTCGAGATCTGGAAACGCCCCCTGCACGTGCGCACGTGCAGTAGCACCCTAACCGCAACACATGGGAATGCAATGCCTGGTGGGTGCCTACCTGTGTGCCAAGTTTCAGCGAAATCGCCCCAGTAATTACCGAGTTACTGAAATGGGAACAAATTTGGCACCTCTTATTGTTGTATTTTGCACGTGCACTGGGGGTGACCCACATACATCGAGAGTATCCTATTTTGGGTAGAAGGGATGCTACTACCCTACAAAAATTACCGCAAGTCAATCGCCCAAGCGGCTGCTGAGATATGAGCCTCTCAAAATCACTACTTTTGCAAAACAGCTTGAACACCCCTGACTTTTCACGTGGCACGTGCCACGACGGTCACTGAGATACTGTATCAAAAGTAGTCAATTACGGGGTAGAAGGGATGGGGCTACCCAACAAAAAAGACCGCAGGCCAATCGGTCCAGCGGTTGCTGAGATATAAGCCTCTCAAAAGCGTTACAGGCCGGGCCGGGCCGGGCCGGGCCGGGCCGGGCCGGGCCGCTCATACTGAGATTTTTCCGTTATATTGAAAAGACTCACTTCGCTCGCTGCGCTCGCTCGCTCGTAATAACTGATTGCTCGTCTTCCTATGTGATGTCTCCTTAGGAAGCCTTTTGTGGTTCGTCTTGCTTTATTGATCTACGGAGACTGTATGGGGTGACCTACGGTGCGTCATGCAATGTAACCCGTTCAGAACTCTTCATTTGACCCACCTCTTATCTGTGCATCTGTTTCCGTGTTGATCCAGCTGGTCGCTCCCGGTGTAACTCGACTCGGTCCTTTGCAGCTGTTTCCGTGCTGGTCGCAGCAGCCGGCAGTTTACCCCCCCCCCCCCCTCCCACAGCCGTTTCCGTACTGGCCCGAGCAGAATGTTGTGTGACCCGCCCTCCCTCCCCCTCCGCAGCTGTTTCCGTGCTGGTCGCACCCGCCCCCCCCCCCCCCCCCCCGCAGCTGTTTCCGTGCTGGTCGCAGTAACCCGCCGTTAAACGTGCCCCCCCCCCTCCGCAGCTGTTTCCGTGCTGGTCGCAGCAGCCGGCCGAGTGGGAGCTGCCGCTCACCAAGCTGCTCTCGCTCGGCTACGGCCTGCTGTGCCTGGCCGTCTCCTACCTGGTCTCAAAGGTGGGCGCCAGCGTGCTGACCGCGTCTCTGACCATATTCGGTGCCGTGGGCGGCCCCCTGCTCGGAGTCTTCACCCTGGGGATGTTCTCCACCGGCGCCAACCAGCGGGTGAGATACCGGGAGGGGAGTGTCGGTTGCACTGCGAATGCTCGTTGGTCGTTAAGGATGAGATGGTGTAGTGACGAGCTGTGCCCGATCGCGTAGTGTACATATGTTATGTTTGTTTGTTTGTTTATGTTTGTTGTCATATGTTTGTATCGTGTATATATTCTCTGTACCTAATGTGTCCGCCACTGCGCGTGTGGACCTCCAGGAACTGTGCGCCGTTTTACATGATAGCGCATGCGCACTATTCGTTACCACTTGGTACTGTTAGTACAATGGTCGCCCAATTGTGTGCAAATACATTCGACTTCTAACCGGAGCAGGACTTTGAAGAAGAGAGGCGAAGGAAGACGGAGGAGGCTGAAGGCTGACGAAGGAGAGACACACGCACAACCGACCTTCAAGGTCGCACCGAGCTACGGTCGAGCGAGGTGGGCAACACGCCCTTAAAGACGCCTCTGATTGTAGCCACGCCGGTACCCCTGGTCGGACCCGGTATACTGACACGGACCTTGCCACTGGCTCTGGCTCAGGCTGTCTTAGCGGACACGCCTGCCAGTCCAGACGCTCTCCTAAGAGCGAGTGCTCGGCTACCGCCAGTCTGCCGGGCCCAACAGCGTTCTGCTGACACCCGCCGATACCGTTCGCCGCACCGCAAGTGCCGCAGCGATTCGGGCGCTCCAGGCGAGCGTAACGGGAGTCACACCAGTCCGCGCCGCCAGGCTCTGCCCGCTGTTGTATTCACGGACGGCCCTTCCTTAGATTGCTGACACCGATCCTGGGCACCGACTTCTTGGCCGCACACCAGCTCGTCGTCGACGTCGCCAGCCAACGCCTCCTGCGAGACGGCACCGTGTGCGCCAGCGCCCAGCGGTCACGACTGTGCTCCATCGGCGTGCGCCTCATCCACGAGCAGGCTGCTGCTCGCTATGCCGCCGTCCTCGCCCGCTACCCGGACGTAACATCGCCAGCGCCCGGCCCGGCACCAGTCAAGCACAGTGTGACACACCATATCGTCACCACCGGGCCGCCAGTGCACCAGCGGCCACGGCGACTGCGACCAGACCGGACACACATCGCCAAAACAGAATTCGACAAGATGCTACGGCAGGGCACCATCCGCCCGTCCAGCAGCAGCTGGGCCTCGCCTCTCCACATGGCGCCCAAGAAGTCTCCCGGCGAGTGGCGCCCCTGTGGGGACTACAGGGCGCTGAACGCCCGCACTCTGCCGGACCGGTACCCGCTTCCCTACCTGCGAGACTTCTCGGCCGACCTGCACGGGTGTGCCGTCTTCAGCACGATCGACTTGGTGAAGGCGTTTCACCAGATACCCGTGGAACCTGCCGACGTCGCCAAGACCGCCATAACTACACCGTTCGGCCTCTACGAATGCGTCCGGATGCCATTCGGCCTCAGGAACGCTGGACAGACCTTCCAGCGTTTCATGGATGAGGTCCTCCGCGGCATACCGGGCTGCTTCGTTTACCTCGACGACATCCTGCTTGCCAGCCCGACTGCCGAACACCACCTGCAGCTCCTGGACCACGTACTTCAGCGCCTCAACACCTACGGCGTCGTCGTCAACAGGCACAAGTGCGTCCTGGGTCAGCAGCAGGTGGTGTTCCTCGGCCACTCGGTGGACGCCGACGGCGTCCGCCCGCTGCCTGGACGAGTCGAAGCCATCAGGAACTTTCCAGAGCCGACCACGCAGTCCCAGCTGCGGAGGTTCCTGGGGATGGTGGCGTACTATCACCGCTTCGTCCACCGGGCCGCCGAACTCTTGCAGCCCCTGCACGCCCTGCTCACTAACAAGGGCAAGAACTCCAAAGCGCCCGTCGCGTGGACGGACGCGACACGCCAGCGCTTCCGACACATCAAGGACGCCCTGGCCGCGGCGACGCACCTCGCGCACCAGGTCCCGGACGCGCCGCTCGCCCTCTTCGTCGACGCCTCAGACTGCGGAGTGGGCGCCGTCCTCCAACAGCACGTAGCTGGCGAGTGGCAGCCGCTAAGCTTCTTCTCCAAGACGCTTCAACCTGCAGAGAAGAAGTACAGTACGTTCGGGCGCGAGCTGCTCGCCATCTACCTGGCCGTCCGACATTTCAAGCACTCGATCGAAGGCCGGTCGGCAATTGTCTTTACGGACCACCGCCCGCTGGTAACGGCCGTCGGCTCCTCGTCCGATCGCTACTCACCACGAGAGGTCCGCCACCTTGACTATATCGGCCAGTTCGTGTCGGACATCCGCCATGTGCCTGGAAAAGACAACGTGGTCGCCGACACGCTGTCGCGCACGGTCTCGATGGTGGCCCAGCCGCGCCCCCCGCTCGCCGACTTCACTGCCATCGCCAAGGCCCAGTCCGAAGACGGCTCGCTGGAAGAACTCGAGGCCTCAGACACCTCACTGCGCCTGCGCCACATCCCGGTCGGCGATGGACTCCGTCTGCTCTGCGACGAGTCCACCGGATCGCCTCGGCCGGTCCTCCCAGAGGCGCTGCGCCGGCCCTTCGCCAAGGCTCTGCACGACCTGTCGCACCCTGGCGTCGAGGCCACCGTCAAGATCGTCTCCAAGCGGTTCGTCTGGCCCGGTATGGATCGTGACGTGCGCCGCTGGACCCGAACCTGCCTCGCCTGCCAGCGCTGCAAGATCGGCCGGCACACCAAGTCCGACGTCGGCACCTTCCAGCCGCCTCAGCAACGCTTCGACCACGTCCATGTAGACCTCGTCGGTCCGATGCCTCCATCAAGAGGCCACTCGTACCTTCTGACGTGCGTCGACCGGTTCACTCGGTGGCCAGAAGCCATCCCGCTGCCAGACATTCGCACCACCACGGTGGCTCGAGCCTTCCTCGAGCACTGGATCGCCAGGTTCGGTGTTCCATCCATCATCACCACCGACCGCGGCGCTCAGTTCGAGTCTGCCCTCTGGTCGGAGCTTCAGCGGTTCCTCGGCTGCCAGCGGACTCGGACAACCAGCTACCACCCGGCCTGCAACGGCATGGTCGAGCGGTTCCACCGTCAGCTGAAGGCCAGCCTCCGTGCCCACCAAGCTGCCTCGTGGACAGACGTGCTGCCGCTGGTCATGCTGGGCATCCGCGCCACCATCAAGACCGACCTGCAGGCGTCCCCAGCTGAACTGGTATACGGCTCTCCACTGCGACTCCCAGCCGAGTTCTTCGACAGCAGCCGCACAGCAGACGCATCACCAGCCTCCTTCGTCAAGGACCTGCGACGCGCCATGGCTCAGCTTCGACCCACTCTGCCACGGACAACCAAGCGCGCCACGTACGTCCCGGAGGCGCTGAAGACGGCAAAGTACGTTTTCGTTCGGCGGGACGACCACCGTTACCCTCTGGACGCACCGTACGACGGCCCGTTCCCAGTCATCAACAGGACAGACAAGACCATCACCATCCAACGGCGACAGCGACGCGATGTCATCACCATCGACCGTTGCAAGCCCGCCTTCATGGACGAGGTGCCGGATCAACCTCAGGAGCAGCCACAGCGCGCACAAGACGTGCAGTCATCGGCCGCCCAGACAGGCGGCCCGGAGCTCCTGCTCTATGACGACACTCCGGCGGCCGCACGTCCTGCACCGCCAGCAGCGCCAACACCACGCCCGGCGCCAACGGAAGCACCAACAACACGACCGACAACACTGCGACCAGCAGCGCCATCGCGGCCAGCATCGACCGCGGACATCACCACGCCAGCACAGCCCAGATCGATTCTCCGCACTCGCTCCGGACGCGAGTCACGACCACCGGATCGATTTCGACACGTCACCTTCATCGGCGACGCGTCTAGGGAGGGGGCAGTGTAGTGACGAGCTGTGCCCGATCGCGTAGTGTACATATGTTATGTTTGTTTGTTTGTTTATGTTTGTTGTCATATGTTTGTATCGTGTATATATTCTCTGTACCTAATGTGTCCGCCACTGCGCGTGTGGACCTCCAGGAACTGTGCGCCGTTTTACATGATAGCGCATGCGCACTATTCGTTACCACTTGGTACTGTTAGTACAATGGTCGCCCAATTGTGTGCAAATACATTCGACTTCTAACCGGAGCAGGACTTTGAAGAAGAGAGGCGAAGGAAGACGGAGGAGGCTGAAGGCTGACGAAGGAGAGACACACGCACAACCGACCTTCAAGGTCGCACCGAGCTACGGTCGAGCGAGGTGGGCAACACGCCCTTAAAGACGCCTCTGATTGTAGCCACGCCGGTACCCCTGGTCGGACCCGGTATACTGACACGGACCTTGCCACTGGCTCTGGCTCAGGCTGTCTTAGCGGACACGCCTGCCAGTCCAGACGCTCTCCTAAGAGCGAGTGCTCGGCTACCGCCAGTCTGCCGGGCCCAACAGCGTTCTGCTGACACCCGCCGATACCGTTCGCCGCACCGCAAGTGCCGCAGCGATTCGGGCGCTCCAGGCGAGCGTAACGGGAGTCACACCAGTCCGCGCCGCCAGGCTCTGCCCGCTGTTGTATTCACGGACGGCCCTTCCTTAGATTGCTGACACAGATTCCGTAGATTGCACAGATCAGCAGGCCGTCCGTAGAATTACAATGGGAACTCTAGACCATTAGTAAGATAGGGTCTATTTCCTTCGATTGTCGAGTGCTCATGAAGTCGGGGAATGGATGACTGGTTAGAGGATGGGTAAGCTTTTGCTTGTTGTATGGGAGTTGGAATGAACGACTGTCTGCAGTGCAATGACTGGAATCGTTGAAATCTTACGTCAAAGAGATGGGTTATGACTTGTCTGGGAGTTCAGTAGAAGAACACGATGTGTCCAGGCTCTGGTGGTTGTTATTGGCACTGTTTTTACCCAGGCCATCCCCCCCCCCCGCCGTCAGGGCGCCGTGGCCGGTCTGCTGGTCGGCCTGGCCATCAACCTGTGGATCGGGTTCGCGCCCAAACCGCCGGCGGCCACACTACCAGTCACCACCGACCTGTGCCGGAACGACACCCACGTGGCCGGCGTGGTGCTGCCGGCCTACGATGACGTCATCGACGGCAGCAGTGACGTCATCAACGCCACGGCCGCCCTGGTGGAGGGCGCCAGTCCGCTTACTGACGACAGGTCAGTGTAAGGGATGGGATGGACCTTGGTTAAGTGGGACAGAGTGCTAGTTAAAGTTAGATGGATGTGTGAGATGGAATTCATTTACAGTCTTACCCATTATGCATGTAAGTAAAGCTCACACAATACTGGTATTTGAACATCTGAGGCCATCCGTGAACTGAACTAATCGCGTGTCAGCCTTGAATAAGTGCCATTTTAACACCTTCCAATTTTGCCTTTGTCGCGCCCATCAAATACCTGCACCTGCATCGACAGCCTGCCCCGCTCACCCCTCCCGCCCCTCTGTTTATTTCAGCGGCTCCAAGTACCTTTACCTGTACCGCCTGTCGTACATGTGGATCTCGATGATCGGGTTCCTGGTGACGTGCCTGGTGGGGCTGCTGGTGTCGCTGATCGGTCCGCGCCGGTCTCCACCCACCCCGCCCGGTCTGCTCAGTCCGCCGGTGGCCTGGCTGAGAGGGAGGATGGAGCCGCAGGTCAGTCAAGGATAGAGAGGGCAGGTCAGATAGAAATGAGGAGTGGTTAGTGAGGATAGGTTAGGATGGCAATACCCAACTCCCATGGAGTAAGACAGGCTAGAGGTGTCATGTCGGAGCCTGGGCACAGCGCGATTTTGTGGCGCCGAGTAAATAATGCTTCAGTTGCGCTGGACTTCTGTGTTTTACATGGTAGGTAATGCTCTGTAATGCACCTTTGCTGGCCTGTTAAGTGTCGAGGTGCACCTCATGTTTAGCCAATGGTAAAAGGTTTCTTGTCGTATGTGTCTCAGGCCTCGCTGCCCGATCGATATGCCATTAGATGTCTGTCTGAGTGTCTGACTGTGTCTGCTGTCTCAGGACTCGTCACCCAGCCGTATGAAGCTGAACGGCAGCAATGTCGGCACGGAGATGGACCAGTTCGAGGCCAAGACGTGGCTGTGACCGGGCGCTGGAGCCACCTCCGACACCGGAGGAGGAGAGGGTGATGGAGCTGAGCGCCGACCCCAGTGAACCGTACTGATGGGTCGGCGTCCATCGGGTACCAGCACAAAACTGCGAGAGACTCATCAGCGGCCATGTCAGACGACAGAGCGAACAAGGACCAAAGAACGTGGTGAGAAACACTTGAGTGCCAGGCTGCTCGGAAAAGAGAAACTCAGAATGGTAAGAAAGTCATAAGGAAAAAACTCAGTGGTAAAAAACTCAGCTGTGAGAAGTGGAAAGTGAAAAACTCAATCGTTGAGAATCTCTGAGCGGTGAGAAACGGGCCACGAAAGGCATTACCGTGAATCTGTGTTTCACCGATAGGACCTGTGGTGTTCATTCGGTGTTTTTTTCTGAGACAGTATTTGTTATTTGTTCTGAATTTACATCGAGTTATGTTTTGTAGCATAAATTTACCACGTTTTGAGCTTACCGGTTTTAATTATTTTGAATGCAGGCCATTTTCGCGCGTTTATGTACTGTGTTCTTTGTCAGTATTTGTGTACATTTATGTGCTAATGTACGGCAGCAGTGAACTGCTTGCGGCGTCGGCGAACGCTGACAGCCATTTGTTGTAGGCTTCGCTTCACCGTTGTTTGTTTAGTGGATACTGGACATATTAACCTACACTGGTGATAAGCGGGCTGACGGGGCTGTACCGGCGGTCCCCGCTAAACTGCTCCCGGTAAGAAACGTCGTGCAATTAGAAGCCGTCCTGCGGTCCTCTTTTGGCCGCACTGACTTTTGAGGCACTAACCAGAGTGTCGTGGGAGTTGGAGTTGTCCGTGTATGATGTCGGACTCTGTAGATTGTCCCATCCCCGGGCCGGACGGCGCGGCACATTGCGTGCCTGACCGGGCCACCCGCGTTGTTGGTACGTTCGCGCTGTGTAGATGTGCGTGACCCCTGTCTCGTGTGTCGTCTCCCTCTGTCTCTTTGTGGCGTCCCTCGTTATGGAGGTGTTAACCCGGTGAACCTGTGATCTGTGCAGCTCTGTGGACGTGTCCCACTGGTCCCCTGAGAGCGGCGCAGACCGGGGGTCTAAAGAGATTGTCGACGGTCAGACCCGGATGTTGCCGATACGGGACACCGGTGTTACGTGTTATGTGTAGCCTGGGTGTTACGTGTCGCGTAACTCGGATGTTACGTGTCACGTTACTCGAGTGCTACGTGTTACAGCACTCGGATGTGTTACTTGACCCGGGTGTTCCTGCTATGTGACTCGTGGGTGATTTACCAGGCCCCTCGGAAGAAGCGCACATGTCGCTGTTACAGATCACCAGTTGTATATTTCGTCTGGTTCCAGTCAGTGACCAGTAATTGGAGCATTGCCCGCGTTTCCTATATTCGCTCAACAGGGGCAGTCGCTGAACGACACGGTACCATTTCGATAGCGCCTTCCGTGCATCAGGAATCTTGTGAAAGACACCCCTTTTATACTGGCTTCCATGTCGTATGCCTGTCACCGACTAGCTACCTTGTTGGACTTTGCCTTGTTTCGTCTCAGCTATCTCTAAAACGGTGCTGGAGATAGGGCTGTCAAATTATCGAGAAGCGGTCGTGAATTGTCACTTCGCTGGCAGCCGAACGCAGTAGCAGTGTATACCATCTACTGCAATAGTTGTGTGAAGAAATGTGTGGTTTGAACGATAAGAGCTTGATCAGTGTGGCCATTAGACTGTGTTTTCGGTCGCTAGAATATGTTTTGTGATTATGCGGTCAGGTTTGTCTAACGAAGGCGGCTGTTTTGATTGGGCTAGTATTTTGTGTTCCGAGTTGGGTTGTCGAAACTATGCCATTTTCAAATTATACATGACATTTTCTCCAGTTCCGATAAGCAGTGTTTGATCTGTGCTTTCTTTGCAACCAAATCAGATCACATTGAGAGTGTTTAGTGCGATTTACGAATCTCATTTATTCGACATATTTAGTTGCAATGTATTCACGTGTGCAATGTGCGATCTGTCGGGTGCTCACCGTTGTGCAGTGGGATTACTGAGCTCCCACTTTCGCGCCTCTGTGTTTGAGTGCGGCATTTGTACTCAATGTCTTCCTCAGCGTGCCCGCGACGCGCCGAGCGCCGTACATATCTGTCGACTGGTGTGCCATTTACGCAATACAGCCACTGGCGTGTAAACTGACCCTCTGGGTGGCGAGAGAGCGACGGTGGTCTGCTGAGTTTGACCTGACTCGGCTAACTCGTGGGTGGCTGGTGAGTGGATCTGCCGTTGTTATGAAGTCTCACTGACTGTGAACTAACTGTGCTGATTCAGCAGCGGGGTGGTCTGGACTGTTTCTGAGTCGTATCCTCATATATCAACAGCTCACCCCTTTTTTCATTCAGACTGGTGAGATCCAGATTTCATATCGGTTATCTCACCGTTCGTCGATAACTGTGATATTTCAACAACAAAAAAGAAGACATCGCGCGGTTCCAGATATCCAAACCAACTCTAGACTACACAGACCATTTTGACGGATAGACAAGATATAAAAACAGCTGAGATTTGGTGGGCATCACTGTCCCACCCAGTACATCAAACAAATCACGGGCGTGCTTCGGTTCGCTCGTCATTTCCCACCGCTGACCGCACCTCTCTCTGCCCCCAGAAGCGGCAGCGGCGCTCCAGCTCGTACCGTCTGTGTCGATCACCTCCAGAAGGGTCGGCGCGGCGCGTCCGCCCTCTCGTGATCTCCGCCGTGCCGACCGCTCTGCCCGGCCATCTGCGCGGCTCTCTCGGCCCGTCTCCTCAGCAGTGAGTCCCGCCTCCTGCCGGCAGCCCGCTGACCGCTGTCCAGCCGGCGGCGCAGCTCGGCAGCCTCCCCGGAGCTCTGCTGGCGCGCCACCCAGCTCGGCTGACCGTAGGCGAGCAGGCGGGCCGGCGGGGCGGCTAGAACGGGCGGCTCCCAGACGGCGACCGTCCACACAGCACCGCCGGAGGGCGGGGAGGCGCGGGGCGGGCTCTCCGGGGCTGGATCAGAGGCCGGTGCGGGGCTGGAGTGGGGACAGACGGCGCACCCGGAGCAGGGTGTACCCTGGGAGCAGGAGGCGCTCTGCTGGCACTCGGGAGCGCATTGAGAGGCTGGAGGAGCTCCGTTGGTGATCGAAGGTGTTCCATTGGTTATGGGTACACCATTGGCCTTAGAGGGTGCACCTTGGGTGCAGGAGCCCTTCCTTGGACAGGTAGGAGCACACTGGGTAGCCGAAGTTCCACCCGGAGTGCCACTTTGTTGACCAGTCGGCACTCTCCCTGTACACTCCGGACACTGTCCACAGCCGAGGGCCGTCTCTGCCGGTGTGCTGACCCCGGGAGAAGTCTGCGCTGACCGTGACTGTCCGGCGGACGGCCCGGGTCGACAGTCTGCCGGGGAGGCGGACCGGGGAGACGTCTGCACACCCTGACACTGACTCGGGGAGGGCTCCCGCCGCGCCAGGGCTATCGCCAGGTCTCGGTAGCCGACGGTCGAGTGGCGAGCCAGGGCCAGCGCCATCTGCTGGTACCCCACCAGGGCCATATTCGGGGCTGGGGTGGGCGGCAGGGCCACGGTGCTGGTGGGGGTCAGCTCGGGGGAGGACTCGGGCGCAGAGTCAACCGGTGACGGCTCCTCAGTCGGCTGAGCTATCGCGTTTCGCGGTGTGGGGGTCGCTGAGGGGACAGGTCTGGCAGCCAGCCGGTCCAGCTCTGCAGCAGGCCGCGCCGCGTCCGAACTCATGGACGAACTCCGGGAGGTTCTCCGTATTCTGGCTGATTTCGGTGGAGATCTTTCCCTGGATGTGGACGGTTCTGAGTCGTGCGATGAGCTCAGAGTTGCCTGCAGTTTGGCTCTGAGCGTCTCAGCCACCGTCGCCATCTCGTGCTGGATGTTGGTGAGGTAGGCGGGCAGCCTCCCCAGTTTGGTCCCGGGCGGTGGGACGGACTGCGCCCGGCGCTGACTCCCAGTGACCTCGGAGGTCGTGTCACGGCGGCCGCGCCGGTCCTCCGGTGGAGGGGTGCTCCTCGGACTGAGACTGGGACACTCCGCTGGTCCGCCCTCCGGGCTGACGGTGGCTCGCTCTTCTAACGGACCGGCGCCATCAGTCGTCTCCTCTGCCTCGTTAGCACAGTGCGCCTCGCTGTCTTCGTTTTCTAGGGAGCTGATCGCGGCTCCAACCTGTTTATCCGGCGATGTTGAACGCGAGGTAGTTGGCGATTTATCCGGGCACCCTGCTCCCGAAGTGCTGGCTATCTGTTTATCCGGTGATCCTGCTCTGGATGTGCTCGGCTGCCTGTCTGGAGACCCAGCTCCTCCTCCCACCGCTGATGTGCCCGCTGCCGTCGACCCGGTCCTGTCTGGTGGACTACTGCTAGTGCCGGCCTGCTGTCCCTCCCGCGTCCCTCCGCTCCCCTCCCCGGCACAGCGGCGCGGCGTCGGGCACTGGGACGGTCTGGGAGAGGGCGACCTCGACCCGCCGGTACCGTACTCCCTCTCCAGCCTCCTCTCCGCGTCCTCCAGCATCAACTTCACGCAGCGGGAGGTATTCAGCAGCGGCACTACGTGGTCATCATCCGCGGCTTTCTGTTCGGGTGCTAACACCTCGTACGGGTCGGCGCCGCAGAACTCCTCGTCTCGGAGGTGCTGGGCGCGCTCATCCACCTCGTGTAGGAACTCTTTGAGAGATACCTCAGCCACGGTGGCTCGGCGGCGACTGAGCGCTCGCCGGTCGGCCGTCGGGCCGGCAGCTGCCTCCGGGCCGGCGGTGCGCTCAAACCAGGTCGGATGGTGAACCTCATGGTCCTCCTCAGACGGAGGAGGAGCGGCGGCGGGCGGTGGTTTGACGGGTGCCGGTAGCGAGGGACGCCGCGACTGACCGGTCGGCAGACCCAGCAGGCGGCTGAGCAGGGAGCCGCGCCGCCGGCGGTCGGCGGCGGGCGGCGCGGGCGGCTCCACGCGAGGCGGAGGGCAGCTGGAGGCCCGCTGGGTCGGAGATGACTGTCTATCGGCGCTGGGGTCGACCTCAGAGATAAGCGGGGGCACACGGGGCTCCTCTGCACTGGGTTTCGCTGCCCTTTCGGAACAGGGCTTCACTGGGTCTTCTGATGCCTCCGTTACTGGTGGAACAGACACTTTCTCCTCAGTTTCTGCCTTTGGCGGAACAGGAAAGTCCTCAGATACCACAGCACGCTCTTGGTCCTTATTACCCTCCTTCTGACACTCTTCGCCATGCTCGGCCCCGCTGGCTGGTTCTTCTCCGGACGAGGCCATCTGCTCCGATCTGCGTCTTCTCCGCTCGTTCTGAACGCACCGCCGGGACACGGACACCTTCCTGGGCCGAATCTTCTCGGCCTGGGCGAGCTTCAGCAGGAGCTGTGCCTCCAGCGCGTCCGGCACCTCCTCCTCACTGGACGAGCTGCTGAGCGGTGACTGCTCGTGCAGGTGTTCCGTGTACGTCTTGGCGTCCACCTTCTCAAACTCGGTCACCACCGACTCCAGGAACCCCCAGTGCTCTGTGAGCGGCGCGTCCAGGTCGAAGTTGGTCCTCACCAGGTCCCAGTGTCGGGCGGCCTGACTGCGGTTGGCAGATGCCGTCTGTGCCGCCGACTCTGAGGGCTGTTCGGGCGGCTGATCGGCCCGCAGAGCGGTGCTCGGTCTGCCCCGGGACAGCCGCCGCAGCCAGCTGCGCTCCCGGCTCTGCTCTCGGCCAGTCGACGCGCCGCCGCTGTCCGACGACTGTCGCCGCTGGGAGGAGCGCCGCCGGAACCTGGCGAACGTCAGCCGGCGCGGCGTGCCCAGAGAAGCGGCGCGGGTCCGAGCTGGTCTCTGAGGACTCGCCGAGGGGCTCTCGGTCCGGTCGGCGCCGGGAGATCCCGCCGGGACGACATCGTCCTCCCATTTCACCGAGTGACCCGGCGGCACAGACTTGGAGCGCTCACACGCGCCCCCCGGACCGCCGTCGGGCCGCTTCTCGCCCTCAGTCGTTGCTCCCTCGCCAGTCACGTTGGTCTCACTCGTCTCGGGGATGTTATCCAGGAGGCTGACGCGCCGCTGCGGGTCCAGCACCACGAGCTCCTCAGTGGGCCACTCTGTGTCTATATCACGGTGATTCGGTAGAAACGGCCCCGAACTGGCAGCCGCCGGCGGACGATCCTCGGACGAGCCGAAACCGAGCCAGGCGGCCGGGCCGTGAGGAGACCGTGAGCCGTTCGGCGAGCGGCCGGGGCGGGTCTGTTTGGTGGAGCGCCGGACCAGGCCGGGCCGCTGGTCCCGCAGGTCGCAGATCTCCCGGAACTGGGGCCGAACCTGCGGCGGAGGGACAGATACAGCGCTGTAAGACAGGTTACAAACGCACGGACAACGCCCAGTTCCCCGGAAAGGAGACATTGAGCTGCATACCTTACCCCTGTCAAATTAAACATGACACTGGTTCAGTGGTCACATGAATGAACAATGCGCTTGTATTATGCGCCTCCTCATTTATGAACACATGTTTACATATCCAGATAGTCATATCTATTCACCGGCCACCGCCAGCACGGCAACAAAAAACGCCCATGGTCCCTCACCCGACATGCACCCTTCCCCTCATTTGAACGTGCCGAAGGGAGATGGCACGGTTCTCTTACCAGTTGCGGGACGACGCGGTACCGCTCTGCGGTCGGTGACGGTGAGGGTGGTTCGCTCGCCGACTCCGCCGTGACTCCGCCGGGCTCCTGAGGCTGCTGTTGAGGCTGCTGGTCCGGCGGCGGCGGCGGCGGCGTGGTCACCTCCTCGTCCCCCAGAAAGGCGGCGTTGTGATGTCCGTGCTGGTGCGGCGGCGGCGCGGCCGGCAGGGCGGCGCCGTGCCGCCGCGCCGGAGCCATGGCGCGCCGCTGCAGACACTCGCAGCAGCCGAGCCAGCCGCTCATCCCCCTGCCGGAGGCGCCGGGCCCGCCCCCTCAGATACCGTATCGGCGCCCGTGCTCCGTATCGCGCTCTAAGTCGCCGCGCGGTAGCTCAGGCGTCGTGATAGCTGCTCGGTCAACAAACAGGCCGGGTGAAGTGTACGAAATTTGAGACGGAAGCATGCACTTGAAGCATTTCGAATGATACATGTTATAGAAAAGGGCCATTGCTAAATTAGAAATACTTGAATCGGGTTTGCATACTATACGAAATGATTGAAACGTCATTGCTAATAATGTGCACATTGCCACTCCGATTTAGAACGGATAATCAAAACCGTTTTGGATAACAGGCAAAATTAATTGAGTCTGAATCCTCGGCATTAAAAAGCAGCAGCATTGCCAGAACTACGCTGTCCATTTCCGTCCTATAATTAAGTTAAACACCCGTAAGAGCCCTGCGGTTGGTGCCTCATCCCATCGCCAGCTGGTCGGCCGCCCCGCCACTCACCCGGCGCTGTGTTCCCGATGTCGGTCACATCCGAGGCCCGTCTCTGTCGAGCTGCTGTCACCGCTCCCAAGTCTCTCGCGCGACCAACTGGCACATTGACCACGGAGCTGCCACTCGAAAAACCGCACCATCTCTCGTGGCCCAGTGCCGGCTGCCGCCTCCGGCCCAGCCGACAGAGTCGTCCGTATATATTGACAGGCCGCCACTTGTGCCTGCCGCGTGGCGGCTGAAAAATCGATATTGCTGTCCGATGTAGTTCGGTTCGCCCGATCGAGTTGAGTCGCCCTTTTCGCGTGGTTCGACACCTGACAGCTTCAATAGCCGCGGTGCGTGTAACCTCGGTGGCCCGAGGCTCAGCCAACCAATCTGCTAGACACAGAGCTGGGGAAATATTCAGCTCACTCAGCGGTCTCTTATCATACCCTGAAGGAACCGTTGTGTGGGTTTATTTCAGGTGTTCGTTGTGAAGGGGCAATTCGTTTAAATGACGCGGCCTAAATTGCCTGACGCACTGCGCCGCTGCTACGGTATGTCGCAGATGTTTTTCTGCAGTATCAGTGCCAATCAGCGCCTACACTCTGCAAATGAAGCGGAAACCGTGGGCAAGTCAACGACTCAACGTATTACGAGCTTATTTGACACTCGCTTATTTGACAAGACATCTATATCCTGGGCAGAACGATTGAAGTTAGAGTATCAAATGTGTAGGCCCTGCTGTATTACTAGTTAACCCTCGCCGGCCGAGGGGGGGGGGGGCGGGTGCCGCCCCCCCCATAGGGTTTTTTCGCGATAGCTCCGAACACGCTAGCGATAGAGAGCTGAAACTTGGCATACCTGACCTTTGATCCAAGCCGCATCTTTTGACACCAACCGCATTTTTGGGTCAGGTCAGGTCACTGACCTATGACGTCATAAGTGAACCTCTGCACGGTCTTCAGATGTCGCAACTTCGCAACGCCCTCACTGCCAGAGGAGATGTCCCAGGGAAATGAAACTTGCAGGATCTAGTATCCATTATGAGTCCCACAATTTGTATATCTCGGATTTTTCCTAAAGGTCATATGAGGTCAGGTCATTTTCGTGACCTCACCATTATAAGTCAATGGGGAAAAATTCAAACTGCTATTCTGGCGCCGGGAACGATCTCCAACTATCTCAAGCACACAGAATCGTGATTTGATGCACTCCTTGCAAGGTTAGATGCGTCACTTTTGCAATGTTGACCTTGCGTGACGTCATTTATGACGTCATCAAGGTCATTTTAGTTTTTCGTCAATAACTCTTGATCAAATTGAGCTAGCGAGTCGAGAAAGCCACCAATGGACTCAGGAAGGCCTACCGAATCGAATGATATGCGACATGACCTCTTTCGACCAACTTCGTGACCTTGGGGTGCTGACCTGACCTTGACCTGAGGTCAACACCCCAAGTTGACCTGACCCGGACAAAAAGTATATCATTCGACGCGCCTGGACGAGGCGAACACGATGCTGCCAAAATCGGCGCTCTGCGGCCATTTTTTGCGAAGTTATTCACCAAAAACTGAACCGTACCTTGGGGCACTTGACCTGACCTCAGAGGTCACCGGTTGACCTAGGACCTTAAAATCGGGTACCAATCTCTGCGTCTCGTAACGGCGCACACGCTCGTTTTTTCCGCGACGCGCTAGCTCCACCAGGGGCGAAACGGCGAGGGGGGGGTCGTACCCGCCCCCCCCTCGGCCGGCGCGTATGTAGAAAACCAATAGGTCCGGCGAGGGTTAAACCAGCACAAATTCGTCATGAATTGATCATTGTTCAGTATCTAACCCTCCAATCGCTGTTTGATGTTCGTCATCGTTATTCCTTATCATACCCCCACCCTCGAGTCACTCAGGACCCAGTCAAACGCCGATCCCATATTAGAGATTTAATCATCGAAAGCATGTGGTTGTTAGGTATCAAACTACAATATTTGGCAATCTCACCACAAACGGATGACAATATGTACATGAGCTATGTACACAGATGAATGCAGCTCGTCAGTTCATTGGAATTGATCACGAAATACACTTCAAACACAAATAATCCACCTGCGCAAATTGATTGGCGCACACGCAGCTGACTAGCTCGATGTCGGGTATCGAGCTCAACTCGATGGCCACAAAGTACAACTCAGTGGCCAAACTCACCAGAGAACTCACACTTACACTCACCACTCACTTTACGCCGCAATTGATCTGTCGCGCGCAATCGCTCCGGTCAATTGACCCATGTCGCGGGCACGCTTCTACCGAATCACACACGGCGTCCTGCGCCCACTCGCCTCTCACTCACACCTCACTAGTCTACATAAATAGTTGTATGGCATCGCGTCGTCCGCCACTGTAAGTGTCTGTCGCCCCGCCGGGGGGCAGCTGCCGAGTGTTGAGCTGGTCGCCGCCGGCCGTTACACCACCTTGGCCTGGCCGTAGACGGGCGAGCCGGCCGAGTCGGAGATGTAGGTGTAGTCGGCGTCCGTCTCGGCGTAGTCGTCGTCTGCGTCGGGCGGCGGCCGGGCGGGCTGCTGCGGCCGGCCCGGCTCCGTGATAGAGAGGCGCTCCAGCGGCTCCGTACCCGGCTCCGGGTCGTCCTCGTACAGGCTGAGGGGAGAGGGGGGAGGTCAGTATAGGCTGAGGGGAGAGGGGGAGGTCAGCGCGGGAGGGCTAAAGGGAAGCTGTGAGGGAGAGGAAGGGGAAGTTCATACCAGATCGTCAGTACATATCGTAGGATCACTGCAATAGAAACGGACGGCGCCGCCACAAGCCGGCAGCAAAGATTTGAGACAACACTGATACACAGTCACACACGACAGCCTGGAAGAACAAGCACTCAGCAGTGTCACCAGAAACAAAGGACCGCACACTGCACACTTATGTAATGCTCAAGTCGCCAATGATCAACGATGAAGAACGGCATATTTTGAAAGTATGGCACCGAGTACTGAGTCATAAGCACGAGGTGGGTGACTCACAGATACAATAAACAGTTACAAGTGCGACAGCTTTAAACACATGGGACTAGGCGGGACTAGCACGCGTCTCACACTGGCTGAAAGCGTGACCACAAGGACTGTGGCAGCTGTTAGAAGACCGATCCATTCGGCATTCAGTTTAGGGTTGGGATCACCTTGCTTTCATGCAGTTAAGGGACTAATTGACTTCATAATTTAGTTTTTTGTCAGAAATGAAAACAAAACGACTGACACAGGGAAACCTAAGCGGTACAACGCCAAGTGTTAGCGTAAGACGAAAACAGCAAAACAACATACCAACAAAAACGTGAAATAAAAACAAAACAACACACCGGCAAATAAAACGGAAGACAAACCAAACGAAATGTGGACGAGTTATTACGGAGACGGCACAATGACTCGGTAAAATCCGTACTCACTCCTGATCACTATCACTGAGTCTCTTCCACAACAACTCTGCAACCCAGGCATTTTACAATTATAGAAAGCCTCGCTGTATCTCCAGGAATTACTCATTACTTTTGCTGGAAGCCGCTTACAACTAATCGCAACCCGCATAATTGAATATATTGTGAGGTGAATGGGTCTAATCGGATTATATAAGACCAAACAAAGAAACAATGATTAACATCAGTTGAAAGTAACTACTACCTACGCAATACCAGTACACACTGGCCATGAGTTCATAGTTTTGCGGCCTCTCCTGTAAAGGCAACACGTCGGCGCGTTGCAGTACGTTTCATCCCTCCTTATTGGGCGCGCGTGTAGTTACTCACAATTCGGGATCCTGTTCGGCGGCGCCCTCCTCCGCCACGAGCAGCTCGTACTCCTCGGCGGCGAACCGGTCCCAGTCCGACATCTGGTGGAGGGAGAAAGAACTAACGTCAGGCGGCGGGGGAGAGCTAACGACAGCCGGTACACAGGGGGTGTGTCTGACCTCCGTGTCACAAACAGCCCACAAAACACCGACACAGGACCGGCGGACACACAGCACACATCCAACCCGGTCCCTCGGGACGGGCCGTCAGCCCGCTCACCCCAACAGAGCGCTGACCAAGGCCAGGCCGACCAGGCGGCCATTCAAACCCGCCCGCCGATAACAAAGGTTCATGTCCACCGCGGACATAACCCAGTCCTACCAGTTAGTCGTATCTGTCAAACAATACCCCGCGGACCGCCCCGGTGGCGAGGAAACTCACCGTCTGTCCCGGCTCTCCGTCCCGCTGCAGCGCGAACGGGTCCCGCTGGTCGTGCTCCAGGTACTTCTCCAAGTTGAAGAACGTGTCGAAGAAGATGTTGCTCATCTGGCACTGCTTGAGGTCGCTCAGCGCGATCTTGCCCGGCGTCTCCGGCTGCACCATGTCCAGCATCTGCGAGAGAGGAAAGAAAACATGTCGTTATGCAATATCCTCACCACAAACACTATCAGCATTCAGTACACAGAAGCCGATTTATTAGAATACCACATTATGCAATGCGCAGGGAATGTTTACAGAATAATTAAAATGAAACTATATACAACTGCTCAGCGATAACACTCGCAGTGAAATTAGCAAAATACAGCGCCAGAGACGCGACAAGATGACAGCGCTGTTGATCACACAGGTCGTCGGCACTGGTGTTACGCAGTTTGTCTGAGTAGCGCGACAGATGAGATATATGAGCAGCAAAAGGGGGTAAAAACTAACGGGTCAACATCAGATGGTGACGTGCCGTCTACTTCAAAACTGCCTCCGTAGCCGAGGGTGCCCCCAACTGCGTAGTGTCACACCATCCCCCACCCCGGCGCTGCAGAAGGGTTACACTGTGTTTATCTTATGCCTCCCAGGGGATATAACAAGCGGGTCAGAGCACCCTTCTGAAAACCGCAGCCTGAACAAACTGACACTAACCCGACCACTAGGGACTGCTCCGAACGGCAACCAGCTTTGACGAGCTTATACTGCACCACCTACTTCTGACAGTTCTCAAAACATTGCGGTGACCAGCTGGAAACGCCACCCAGCTTAGTGATAACCCTCACAAAGGACCCTAGCCGAACGAACATTTTAGGAGTTGGAGAGTGTATACTCACCCAGCAGAGACAGTCCTCGAAGGGCAGCGCCTCGATGCCGAGCGCCTCCATCC